CTATATTTCTTTTCTAACTTTTAAGTTTTTCAGCTGTCCTGTCTGGAACTCACACAGATCCACCTGCTAGAATGCATGCTGGGAAGATTTTATTTTAATTATATGTAGCTTGTTATATAGTACCTCAGCTTTGGAGTCAAAGCCAAACAAACATTTGCTTTTAACTCTCTTTTTATTCCCTTTCCCTAGTTATGATGATGAAGTTGATAAAGTAAACCAGTATCAACGGCTAAGCCTAGAAGACCTGGAAAAGATAGAAATAGGTAAACGCAAACACATTAACTAACTCACACAAAAGGATACACCAAGCCACCTGTGGTGATGGACTTCCCTTTTCTTCTTCAGGCTAGTGATGTGTATGGCTGCTTTCATATTGTGCCTTGTGAAGGTAACACCAGTGCAAAAAGCCTAAGCAGTTACTACTGAAGAAGTGTTCTCATGGCCTCATTAAATCACGTTTGTGACAGAACAGAGGGCAGAACAGGGGTGCCTTGTTAGGGCTGGAAGACATGTACAAGCATGAAATCTAATAATGAAACCCATGATCAATACATGCTATAAAAACTTTTTTTTTTTTTTTTTAAATGAGGGCTGAGGTTGAGAGCACTGGCTGCTCTTCCAGAGGACCTGATTTCTATTCCCAGACACCACATGAGATCTGGCGCCCTCTTCTGGCCTGCAGGCACATATACATATGTCTATATCTCTTCACACACATATCTATATCTATATACATGGAGATAAGAAAAAAGATGCATTGGGACTGTAGGGGTAGCTCAATCAATGAGAGCATGCGCTGCTCTTACGGAGAACCTCAATTCACTTCCCATTATCTATGCCAGGCAGTTCACAACCACCTCTGACCCCCGGGTCCAGGCCGGTGACTCTGGCCTCCTCTCATATGCAACTATCCCCGATGCCCAAATAATTAAAAGTAAAATCTTTGAATTGAAAGAGAATGTAGCGTCTCTTTGAGCCGCGCAGCTTCCTGAACTGCCCCTCCAGCCCCTGCCTTCCCCACCCCGCTAGTCTTGATACATTCAACTTCCTGCCCCACCAGAGGAAGTGGGGAGCAATACCAGGTGCAGAGACGACCAGCAGAGCCATGGTGAGTTCTTGGGCCCAGGAATCTAGGCAACTGGGGCCCAGTCCTCTCCCCTGAGGGTCCCCAAATCAAAGTCAACCCATAGTAAGCTGACTTCCTAGCTTTGGGGCTCAGGTGGTACCGGGCACTCCTTGCCATGTCCAGGAGCCTCTTGCTATCTACATTTACACCCACAGGACAAAGAGTATGTGGGTTTTGCTGCCCTCCCCAATCAGCTGCACCGCAAGTCTGTCAAGAAGGGATTTGACTTCACACTCATGGTGGCAGGTCCGTGTGTTTTGGAGAGAGACTGGGGTGGGGGGTAGTGATGTACTCCGGGGATCCTGGCTGCCCTCTCATCTGACTAGTAGGCCTGACCCGTTCTCAGGGGAGTCAGGCCTCGGGAAATCCACCCTCATCAACAGCTTGTTCCTCACCAACCTCTACGAAGATCGGCAGGTGCCAGATGCCAGTGGTAAGATCTGCCCCCACCTTCACCCCTGCGGACTCCCCACCCTTGCTGCTGGCCTGTCTTCTCTCTTCCTGTGTGATGAGGCTACATACTTTCTTTCTGTCTGGGGACTTGGATGGTCACTTGTTTTCTCTGAGACTGTTTCCTCCCGTGAAATACACACGAGGATGTGGGGTGGGGGTGGGGTGGGGGTGGGGGATGAGATGCAGCTGCATCGCTAGGAATGGGGTCCCCCTCAGAGCCTTCGCAGCAGCTTCTCTGTATCCACAGCGCGCACCACACAAACTCTGACCATTGAGCGCCGGGCTGTGGAGATCGAGGAGGGGGGAATCAAGGTGAAGCTGACCTTGGTGGACACGCCTGGCTTTGGGGACTCTGTGGACTGCTCAGACTGGTGAGGCGGGGGACAGATAAGAGCTAGGCTTCTCTTCCACTATGGAAGACCAGGGTTCATTTGTGAGCTAGTTTGCCATGGCTCCTTGACCTAAAGCCACCTGTTTCTAGAAGCAAACAATTTGGCCCAAAGGGTCCAGTGTTTCTTCCTCTGAGAAAAGGGTTCTCTCTGTAGCTCAGGGGCCTCAAATTCACCATGTAGCCCTAACTGGCTTCAAACTGGAAGTTCTTCTAGGATTGCAGACATATGCCATGACTGGTTCAGTGCTCCACTCCAACCCCCAGCTTTTGCAGATGGTGTCACATTAGCCCAGGCTGGCCTGGAACTCATTGTGTAGGCCATGCTGGCCCCAAATGTGGCAATCCTCCTGCCTCAGCTTCCTGAGTGCTGGGCTTATAGTGTGGAGCCACTTTGCTTCTGGAAGTCTAATCCCAAGCCCTTGCCAGTTGCCCCTGATGGCTTTGGTTGGAATTAAAGAAATTACTTTCCACCCAACAGGCCTGGCTAGCTTCATTCTGTCCCCTGCCCTGTGATCTTAGACTATACATCTTCTCCCCACATGCCAGCTGGCTGCCTGTGGTCCGATTCATTGAGGAGCAATTTGAGCAATACCTCAGGGATGAGAGTGGCCTCAACAGGAAGAACATCCAGGACTCCAGAGTCCACTGCTGCCTCTACTTCATCTCACCTTTTGGCAGAGGGTCTGGAGGGCACCCTGGGGGGGGGCAAGTGACTGGGGTGGGGAAGTATAAACCTCTGCACTCAGGAGCTGAGCCTGATAAATCCCTGCTGCAGGCTTCGGCCCCTGGATGTGGCTTTCCTCCGGGCAGTGCATGAAAAGGTCAACATTATCCCAGTCATCGCCAAAGCAGATGCCCTGATGCCTAGGGAGACTCAGGTCCTCAAGCAGAAGGTATGGGTGAGACCTGACCTTTAGCGCTAAGTGAAAACAAAAGCTGTGACTTTTTTTATCTTGGGGTGGCCTTTTCAGAGCAGGAGCTATTAGGCTAGACTAGGGGAGGGGAGTATAGGGGTGTATGAGCCTGTCACAAGCAGCCATGTCTCTAACAGCTCTGTACAGAATAAACTATACAACCTTGGAACTAGATGCTTGGCTAGGGACAGTCTGAGGAAAAAAGGGGTGGCCATCACAACTCCTGGCAACTTCTTGGTCCTGTGATAGTGATAACTCCCTGCCCGCTGTCTTTAAGAGTGCTTTCTCCTGTTCCACCTCCGGATATTTTGATGTCTGTCCTGACTTTCTGAATTCCTCCCCATTATGTCTCAGATGATTTGGTTTTGGTCATCTTGTGTGGCCACCTCTCACCATCTGTTGTTCACACCTTTCTTCCTCTCTGACTACCCAGTATCTCTCTGTCCCTCACTATCTCTGCCCTTGCCATGTCGGTTGGTCACACCTCAGTTTCTCCCTCTCTCCGCCCTGAGATCCGGGACCAGTTGAAGGAGGAGGAGATCAACATATACCAGTTCCCAGAATGTGACTCTGATGAGGATGAAGAATTCAAGAAGCAGAATGAAGAGATGAAGGTTTGAGAGGTGGACGTGGAAGGGGCAGGGAAGCACAGAGCGGAAGCGGAGGTGAATGCTTTGAGAAAAAGGTTTATGCCCAAGTGACTCGTAACTCTTGCCCGGTAGGGAAGCATTCCTTTCGCTGTCGTTGGTTCATGTGAGGTGGTGAGGGATGGCGGAACCCGACCAGTGAGGGGACGCCGCTACTCCTGGGGTACCGTGGAGGGTAAGGCCAGGGATGCATTGAGAGCTGCAAGGAGCGCAGTCTGCATCCATTTGTGAAACTGGAGGTGGGGTCTAGTCCTGGGAGTTCCTAGAAGCCTGGGAGGGTGGAGCGGGGGCGGTCCCTCGGGCTGTAACAGCGAGGTACTTCCCGAGGGCAGGTCCTGAGGGTGGAGTTTGATGGAAAGCTACCTGGTCCGCCCTCTAGTGGAGAACCCACATCACTGCGATTTCCTAAACCTGAGGCGGATGCTGGTACAGACCCACCTTCAGGACTTGAAAGAGGTGACCCACGATCTGCTCTACGAGGGCTATCGGGCTCGCTGCCTACAGAATCTGGCTGGCCCTGGGGCCCGGGAGGGAGCCAGCCGCAGG